ATATATAAAATAATATTATATATATATGAATTTTTTGGCAAACATAGAAATGTATGTCTGTTATATGCTAAGGAATGAAATTGTTGGGTCATAAGAAATGCACATTTTTATCACATTTAGTATATAATGCCAAACTATTTTCAATGGCTGTATGAATTACATTTCTACCAGTTAGTTGTGAGAGTTCAAGTTATTCCATACCCTCATCTACACTTAGCATTATCAGTCTAATTTCAACCATTTTTGTGAATTTGTATTGGTATCTCATTGTAATTGTAATTTCCCCAATTATTGCTGAGGTTAAACACACTTTCATATTATTCTTGAACTTCTGAACATTCTCTTTGGTGAAGTTCCTGTTCAAGTTCGTTGTCCATTTTTTCCATTGGATTTCTTTTTCTCATTTTATAAAACCTAAAATTAAATAAAGTATAGAGGAAAATCATAGGAGACACCTAATATACTCAATAGTGTAAAGATGTCAATTCTTCCCAAACTGATCTATAGATTTAACTCAATGTTGATCATATTCCAAAGAAGGTTTATGTGGAAATTAAAAAGATGATTGTAAAATGAACCTAGAAATTCAAAGGGCCAATATAGCCAAGAAAATATTGAACAAGAAAAAAGTGGTAAAAGTTCACCAGATAACAAGATGCATTATAAAACGGCAGTATTCCACATGGCATGGTATTCATGATGTATAGACAAACAGAACAAAATGGAAGTGAATTTAAGTCCAGAAATAAAACTACAAATGTGTTGAAAATTTTTTATGACACACTTAGTACTAGAGAACAATGGGCAAGCAACATTCTTTTTAATAAGTGATGTTGCCGTTCAGATTCCAAGTGGAAAAAATAAGCTGAATCTTAACCCATTCCTCATATCATATACAATAATCAATCATTTCCAGGTGAAATATAGATCCAAATTCAAATGGTAAAATAATAAAGCTTATACGGATAAAAGCAAAAGGTAATACCATAATGGCTTTCAGCAGGCAAATATTTCTTAAACAGGACACATAATTATAAAGTGAAAGTTTATAAAAATGAACTACATCACAATGAAGAGCTTCTCTTTATCAAAAGATAAAGTGAGTTAACATTTTAATCCACAGAGAAGGAAAATATATTTGCAATACATAAAATAAACAAAGGACTCATATCCAGAACATAAGAACAACTCATAATTTTGATGAAGTTCAAGGTAATTGTTTCCGTTTTTGCATCATGCCTTTGTTTTCACATCTAAGAAATATATGGTTATTCCCAAAGTCACAGGGACTTTATTTTATGGTTTTTCTTTTTATTGCCAGAATTTCTTCTGGTCCTATATTGAAAACTATAAAATTAATAATTATAATATATACAAAAAAACCCCAAAATTCATAACCCATAATCAGTATGTGAAAAAACAAAACTCTTATCAAAAAAAAATTTACAGTTTCATTAATCCACTACTTTAGAGGAGATCCAACAGCCTATGTTTTGACATTTTCTTGCTTGGAAGAGATCAATTTCTTCAACTAGATTAAATCTAATAATTCTTTGAGTTTTCTGCTGTTTTCCCTGCTCTTATATTTTGCAATGGAATACGAGGAATTGATATTTAAAAACACATTTTCTTTGTCTAAGTTCCTAATATTGTTAAAATGTTTTCTTAATTTATATGCTACTGATCTTTCAAAATGTTCTATAGGGTGAAATAATGCCATTTGCAGCAACATGGGTGGACCTAGAGGTTATCACCCTAAGTGATGTAAGTCAGAAAGAGAAAGACAAATACCATATGATATCACGTATATGTGGAATCTAAGATACGTACGACACAAACGAACACATCTATGAAAGAGAAACAAACTCACAGATATAGAAAACAGACTTGTTGCCAAGGGGATGGGGCTGAAGGAGGGAAAGATTGGGAGTTCGGGATTAGCAGGTGCAAACTAGTATATACAGGATGGATAAACAACAAGATCCTACTGTATAGCACAGGGAACTGTATTCAATATTCTGTGATAAACCATAATGGAAAAGAATAGGAAAACGAATATATATTTATAAGTGAAACATTTTGCTGTAGAGCAGAAGTTAACACGACATTGGAAATCAACTATACTTCAAAAGAAAGTTTATAAAAAGGTTCTATAGGACTGCTAATAAGGCAAACATTCCATAGATTATCTTATTCTGCTGCAGAAAATTTGCAAATATAGAGTTAACCACTGCAGGAAAATAATAAAAAATATATAACACTTCTGTAAACTAATTTTTATAGGTTAAATATGATAGTAACCTTTCATAAAACTGACCGATTACTACACAACTTTCACTTCCATTTCCAGAATGATGTCCTCTCCCTGCTAGATGAGCTGAGCAATATTTGGGGGAGTATACATCATTACTAATCTATCACTAATTATAGTTATTTTAAGAGTATATGATCAGTTATTTGAATTTATCCTTGAAAGAGAGATGTAATGTAATTAGGACGTTATAAAAAAAGCCAGTAAATGTATTGGTTAATTAGAAAGATTGTAGGAAGTTAATAAGAAAGGAGGGCTGCCTCCAATATCATGAGAGAGGGGAGGAATCTCAAAGTCACTCTGAGGAGACAAGAACTCCTTTCATCTACACACTTCTTTACCTATGATTGTTGACTTTTTCTAATACCACACATATATTTTCTTCTAGTTAAAATTAATCAAACATAGGAATAGAAAACAAATTTGCAACTCTTATGCTGAGTTGAAATACTGAGTTTTCTGTGTAACTTTCATACTTGGACATGTTATCTAATAAATGTTGGCTTAATTCAAACAAGCTTTATCATCATGTGTGAACCCACTTTATACATAAAACATAACGGTCAGCCTATTAAAAGCCATTTGTTTCACGAACACTGCTGTAAGGAGCTGAGTTTACCACAGGACTTAATTTGGCCACCAAATATAACTGCATTATGTAAAATCTAAAAACAACACGAAGTGGCCAATCAGGTCTGGTTCACACCTTTCCCTGCCCCGCTGTGGATGCATGCATTTACTTCCCGAATCACATTAGCAGACGCACATGAACTAGAACATGTGCTCTTAATGATAACTGCTTTGATTTATGAGAGAACTTGAAATGCTTTCTCTGTTTTTAGGGCCAAAGCCCTCACTCAAACATTAAGCATGCTGTCTCATGGTATCCAGACTCTGTCCAGGGCTCCACTTACATTATTTTTCTGCAAGACCTGTAGTGCCTTGTTGACATTGTTCAGGGCATGAACTCTCGTCGATCCTTTTTCTTTTGGCTGAAAACGAAATGAAACAATGTTGACTGCCCGCGGGAGAGAAGGACAATCTACCAGAAACGGAATAATTGATATATTTCACTTCTAAATTGGAATCTTTTAAATGATCACAGGTTGTGAGGCATTAATATAATGAATTTAAGTGCTTCAGGTTAATAATCCTTGTCATAGGAGTTTCTTATAGCATGGAGAAACTCCTTATAGCATGAATCAGCCACTCCTCAAGAAAACTGATAGAATTTTTTTTTTCTTCACAAAAGAGTTCGGTTACCATCTCTTCTTCATTCTACACTTCAGTAGCATGCCCACGAAGAGAAACATCAGCATGCATAAGGACATTTGCTAGTAAGATAGATAAGTGGGTCAATCCCCACACTTTTTAGGAAAGTTTAAAAGAGATTTGAGCCTAGCAAAATTCTATAATGCCAAATAGGCTTAACGGAAACTATTTCTGGCAATATTACCTTAATTGTCTTAGTCACTGAAGCTCAAAACCTCAATCATCTTTGGTTCTCTAACCCTCACCTTCAATCCCCAAAGTCTTATCTTGTCCTGTAATTTTTAAACTAACATTTGCATAGTGTATTACAATATATGGATTAACTCATTCAGTTGTGGAGTTTTAGAAAGTCTACCATTATGATGCCTGAAGTATTTACTCCTAAAATGAGATCTACCCTCCTAAAACAATTTTAACTACACAATAAAATGCTGTTAAGTATAGGCACAATATTGTACAGCAGGCCTCTGGAATTTATTCATCTTGCAGGACTGAAACTTTATACCTGTTGAACAGCAACTCCCCATTTTCCATATTTCATATTAAGTGTTCTTAAATCCTAGGAGTTCTCATCACAAGAAAAAATAGATTTTTTCTATTTCTTTAATGTTATATGAGATGATGGGTGTCCACTAAACTTATTGTGATAATCATTTCATGATGTTTATAAGTCACATCATTATGGTGTACACCTTAAACTTGTACAGTGCTGTATGTCAATTATATCTCAATAAAACTGGAAGAAAAAAAAGACAAAAGACTAAATAAAGTTAAAAGTTAAACTTAAAAGGTCATTATGTATAAAAGCCTTATAAAGACAGCCACTAACAAAGATACCAAATAATAATAGAGAATAATACCTATTAAATAATATAGATTATATTACTGAAAATTTCACCTTCTTGTTCTGCATATGATAGAAGATGCCAAACAAAAATAATATTGCAAGACTGTTTTTTTAGGAATAGGTCCTGTACTGCTACTTAAATCAGTAATTAGTAAATTAATTAATTTTACTGGATCTCATAAAACTATGCTGAGTTTGTTTCTGGTCTGGAATTCTTCTGAGGTTAATATGAAGTTCCTTATAAATACTGTAAGTCACATACCAGTCTTTGCCCTGTCAGGCCTTCAAGAAGGTCTAGGAGGCGTCTCCCATCCTGCAGGTCACTGAAGAGGTTTTCTATGTGCTGCTTCCCAAACTGAAATAAGAAACATACCCGATTAAAGAAAGCATGCTTCCAGTGATCCATTTCTATGAATACGCCTTTTAAAATTTAAAGCTATGTTTAAGAATATTTAATGTATCTAATTCTTAATCTGCCAAGGGTGATGGATGAAAAGAAAACCTCCAAGTAAAAAACAAAAACCAGTAAATCATCATTCGGCCAAATCTATTTAAATATTTTTCTCAGTAACAAGAGTTGGAGATCTATAGTCTAATGGATCTAATTAACTCAACTTTTTGAACGCTGATCCTATGAAGCAGAGAAAAATTGGTTAAATTATCAGGCAGTTGGGCACTGTTTGGGGAGAAGTAAACACACAAAGAAACAAAGACCACAAACAACTTGCCCTGGGTGGGTACATAAGATTTAACCATTTTGTGTACTTGGAAATAGAATGCATAATCATAGAGGGTTCACCATCCTTCACTCATAAAACATGCTTTCTGCGCATATACATTTTACATGCTGCCTCAGAATGATCCAGTCTCATACTGGATGGTTCAAATTTTAGAAAGGTATGATTTAAATTAAGTTGAAATATGTTGGTGAAAGCTTTTCATCTATTTTTCTCACTTCTTTACTTGAGAATTATACCGAGGGAAAACAATAGCCACTAATAACATCTAACATTTTTCGAGTGACTATTCATGAGAAACACTCCACTGAATGAATTGATCTTGTAATTTTTGTGACGTTAGCATTAGTATACTCATCCTACAGATGAAACAGAGACAAAGAGTCCTACAGATGAAACAGAGACAAAGAGACAAAACAAGAAGATGATAAAACCAAGATTTTGGCCCAGATCTGTCTAACTCCTGGGGCTCTTGTTCTTTCTATTTTATCAAGCTGCTTCCTTGGCCTTTTCCTCCTTCCATTTGATTATCTTTCAAATATTTTATTTCTTCTGTCATGCCCCCAAATATCTTCTTTTTCTGGTTCAAAGCCTACAATCCCTTCGTATGAAATCATTCACAACTCTTTCATCACCCAAGTTATCAAGAAAGCCCTACTTTATCAATGACAGTTGCTTATTGAGCACCAATAAACCTGGGCTAGGTGCTAGAGCATGCACTAGTAAATGAGATGGGTATGACCCCAGCCCTTGTGGAACTTTGAGTCGAGCAGGGAAAACAAATATTCCTAAAAGGTAATGCTACAGAGAAGCAGTAAAAGGAACCCAGGAGTACATAACCATGGGAATTCCCATAGTCGGGGGATCAGGAAATACTTCCCTCAAAATGTCAGCTGATGGGGCTAACATTAGCCTTGGGTGATTGGGCTCTTCTCATCTACTCCTTTGATCACACACAAACTTTATATTTCACACAGCTCAAGAAGAGCCCTCGTTTCCAGGCAAAAGACATCTCTGAAGCTTCTAAAATTGAAGACAGAGGATTCAGGCTCTCCCTACAGCCAGGTAGCCATGTCCAAGACAAGTCCTGATAGAGCCTAGGTGCTTCACTTAACGATAACACTGACCCCTGCAAGAAGTCCACCAGTCCCTCCATGCCAGGCTTTGGGAATCAAACCACATATGTGCTTTGACAAAGATAACTATAAGTTATTCTTTTGAAATTCTACTTGAATAGTTCTAATTAAAAATTTCAGGGGAAAAGAAATGACAAAACACTAAGATACTAGAACTTTTAAAAAGCACTTTTAGTATATATAATGTACAGGTAGATCTTAAAACAACAGTGCCATTCTCATGAAATAAGGAAAGCTTTCTATTAATAAGTAAAGAAAATGAATGTGTGCTTTATAATGATTCTGTCAAGAACCTCATATATAACCCGGAATAACTTGGCATTTGGGGGATAATATTAAGATTTCATTTTCAAATTGGTTGAAGGTCAACAATGCCTTGAAAATGCTGTTTTGTTTTGTTTTGTTTTCCAGGAGCAAAGTTTTACAGATGCATTTGAGAAGTGAGTAGCTTCTAAACTTATGGACAAAAACAATATTGCACACTGAAATGTGTCAGGTTTTGAAGAAAATAAAATATAGTTAGTTGACAGAAATACTTGCTGTTAATAAAAATATATATCTAGATAGGCAGATAGATAGACAGATAATAAAGTCTGGCAAACCAGGAGGGACGTGAGTGGTAAAATGTTCATTCAAGGAGAAGGGCTGGGACTTGGAAAGGAGTAAGTCTAGAGGCAAAGAATAAAGCATGAACCCCAAGGCCATAAGGATCACCTAGCATCCAAGATATGAGGACTAGAAAGCTTATGCTTTTGGGCAAGGAGCTTAAACAAAGTTCAAGAAGGCAAACAGGATCTTGCTTTGATACAAACTTATACACACAGACGAGGTACTGATATTTTATAATTCTCCCTTTTAAACTGGAATCAAACAAAATAGAGAGGGAGGGAAGGACTGCAGACTAATCAGAGTGCACATCTAGCTGGGGCACCTAGAAAGCAGTGAGGTGATAGAGAAAAAGACAGTTTTCGGTATCATATATAACTTTCAAACTCATGCAATCAATGATATATTAAAGTATCACAACTGAAATCCAACTTAAATGTGTTATATCCCCCACAATCTCTAACAGGGTGCTTCTCAAAATGTTCCAGTAAAGCATCCTTCAACAGACGAGACTGAATTTATTTACCCCGGAGCCTGGCAGTGTAAAGTACATAGTGATTGCAGGTTCAAAATTTCTATGAAAGCGTATGTTTTATGTTGAGAATTCATGGAGATTTTGTCTTCCTCTCTTAATGCGTGTTTAACTTAAAAGTAATTTCAAGCACTTTGACTGAAATTTCCCCTCCTATGGTCTAATTAAATTGATGCTCAATGAAATGTACAATATTTAGCCTGTAACTTCATGGATGTTCAGGTGTTTAGTCTTATACCTCCTGGACTATGAATATCCTAGAGAAAGCAAAACATCTCTTTTCTCTGGAATGGTTTTCATTTCTTTCCTAGATTCAACTCCTCATTCCGTAGCACTATAGGTATGATGTAGCAAAAGTAGCACACGTTTCTGAGGCAGAAATAGCTGATTTTTCGAACCCGAGTCTCCTATTCACTAGCTGCATTGTCTCCGGCAAGTGACTTAGTCTTTCTGAGGGACAATTTATTCATTAGTATCAACAGAATGGGGACTGAAATAATAGCACATCAGTCTTAAGCCTCTGAAACAGTACAGGTATGCCGTACAGACTTGGCAAATAGTAGGTACTCAATAAATATAGAAAGATTTTTTTCTGTTTTATTCTACTGTTCCTTGGCTTCTCTTTCTTTGGCCAAATACTAGATATAAATACAATTATGCTTAATTACTGAATCTACCAGAAAATACAGAGCTCAGATACAATGTGTTCTGTTTTCTCTTAGTTTGGCACCCCTGTAAGAGTGAAAGTCAAGGAAGGAAGTTGTCCCTCCATATTCAATTACTAATACTAGTACATGTGGATGGCAAAGGGGAAACACTCGGAGCCTTCAAGCTCTTTATCTTTTTGTTGTTCTTTTGCTTACTTTTCATTAAATCTTCTTCTGTTTTCCCCTCTTTTTATCTCCTATGAAAGACATCTACTATGCCTTTTTGCTGCAAGTGACACTTACTTCATGAAAACAGTATTATTTCTTTCAAAATTCCCTATCTTTAATGGCTTTCTTTTCAAGTGTATGAAAATTATTTTATAAGACACATAAAACATTAAATGCACCTTGGGTCATATGACCCTGTGGCTCTCTATCTTCAATCCCTTTCATGACTCATATTTTCTTTAAAAAGTGAACTTTTGGTATTACTTAGCAGTTTCTTACATTCACTTACATATTGAATTCTTCCTTGCTAACCCAAATATCAAGATGAAAGGACCATAAAATGAGACAGCAATCCTTCCAGATCATTGTCAGGATGATATAAAGAAATTCTACATTTATATCAATTTCTTTATTTATTTTTTTTTTTTACAGACAGTGTTCAAAAAGAAACTCAGACAGGTTGATTGGTAACTGGCATAAACAAAGTGAAAAAATCAAAGTAAAAAAGTTGAGAAAGGGACAGAAATGAATTGAAAAATATTTAAATAGTTTCTGACTCTTCAGAGTTGTGTCAATCTTTTAACCCGTAAATACACAGAGATCGATACCATGTTGCACTAAAGAAACTTGAAGAGCACAGGAATAAGTTAACACGGCCTTCTGGTGGTAGAAAAGTCAGCCTCTGAACATCCGTGTTGCTGAGAAAATCAAGATACTTCTCTGTGATTCTGAATCTTGAGCTATTAGAAACACCAAGAGCAAGAAAAACACCAAAGAGGAGAGCAAATTTGATTCCAAACTTATTGGTAAATCCTGCTGACCAGCTCCCATAAAAATAATGCAACCCACTGTAATATAAATAGGCAGTTTTCATAGATGATTGTTTTCTTAAGCATGGGTTGTAAAAAGTATTTCATAAGAAAATTTTATTGAGGTATAATATACATACAGGAAAGAACACATATCTTAAATGTTAGCTCAGTGAATGTTCACAGACTGAAGACATTCATATTATCATCACCCCCATGGTGAAAAAGAATATGATCAGCATCCTCAGAGCTTCCTCACACCCCCTTCTGTGTACTAGCCCTTTCAAGGATGACTACTCTACTGACTTTTAACACCATAGATTAGTTTTGCCTTGAAAGGAATCTCTTAAAAACAGAAGAATAAGGCTGGTTTAGTGTCTCATTTTAGGAAACTAATAATTGAAAGACATATGGTTTAGGAAGAGAGAATTTGGAAAGAAAAAAAAGTTGCAGTGATGAAATATGTTTTACAAAGCACAGGGAAGTACTGCAATACAATGAGCAAGAATATTCTCTCTGCCCCAGAATTCCTTGGTTCAAATCCCAGCTCTGCCATATTTCATGTATGTGATATGAGCAAGTAACTTAATCTCTCTGGGTCTTACCTTTTATCACCTGTAAAACAAGGATGTAGTATTACCTAGCTTCTGGTGATG